GAAATATTAGAACAAGTTATAAAGTACATTGAAGTGTGAATTTTAAAATATCCCTTTAAAACCGGTTTTTATAACATTACAAACAATTTTTATTTTATGTGAACTTTTTAAAAGTCTTGCTAAAAATCGACAAACACACAATGTTTCACAAACTTTTATATATTTTTATTTTTTCTAACTTTACGCATTTTTAAAGTCAGCTATAAAATAGTACACTACAGTGTAAATATTTAAATAACAACCTAATGAACAAGGATTAAATAATGTTTAAAGAAATTATTTCTTGTGAACTGTTTAAATTTCATGGGAATTATATAAAGTAACGATCATTTAATTACAAAATGTAACATATTCGCTAATTAATAAATTATTCTCTAACTTTAAGGAAATGTCAGAGTAAGTTACAAAAGTAAACCAATTAAATATAACTTTTTGTTGAAAATTTTTATTTATCGTGAAATGTTAATACCACTTGTAAACTATTTAAAATAATGAGCAGTTAATTCAAAATATATTAAAATTTTTTGTACTTTCTCAAGCGTTGAAGAAATAGAATCGGAAGAATAGAAAACTTTATGCATTGTTATTTAATACGAAAAAAATAGTATTTCCTTTAAGCTTAAAGTTCTTGTGAACTAATTACAATAAAGTGCATTTAATTAATAGAATTGAAAGAATAGAAAACTTTATGCATTGTTATTTTATACGAAAAAAAATCGTAATTCTTTTAAGCTTAAAGTTCTTGTGAACTAATTACAATAAAGTGCATTTAATTAAGAATGTATAATACATTTTAATCATACATACTTTAAAGTATTATTAAAGTATTATCTTTTTATTGTAAAATGTTCATACTTCTTGTGAATTATGTAAAATAACGAGCAATTAATTTAAAAAATATTAATTTTTTTTATATATTATGAATTCTCAAACTTCTAAGAAATAGAATCAGTTCTATTATTTTACATATTGTTTAATATAAAAAAAATTGCATTTCTTTTAAGCCTTAAAGCTCTTTAGAATTAATTACATAAAAGAACATTTTATTAAAAATGCACCATACATTTTCATTATACATGCATCAAAGGGTTATAAGTTCTAAAACTTTGAAGAAATGTTAAAGCCAGTTACAAAAATAAACTAAACTATAAGGTTTTGCATATTATTTTTTAAGTTCTTTAATAAATTTAAAAGTTTTAATTGCCTAAATTTCTTGTGAATTTTACAATAAATATCATTTCATAAAAATATAACATATTCTTTTGTGTATTGTGCATTTTCTAACTTCAAAGAAAAAGTAACAGTCAGTAGCTAAAGTACACTAAAATGTGATTATTTTAATATCATTTTCTTAATGTTTATAAAGTAGGGGAAAATTTAGTTCTTTTGCACTCTTCACTTCCATTAATTTCCTGTAAATTAATGTAATAGTTTCGCAGTGTTTCAATTTAAAAATATCTAATATTAAGACAATAGTTTCAGAAGCTTTTGGTTTATACCTATAGCTTAGATATAGCAAAATAAAGTATTTAAACTAACGTATAGCAAATATTTAGGTATTTTCATATTCAACATCATATTTGATATAATGCAAGCTATTATAAAATAAAAGCATAGCTAGTTAACACTCACAAATGTTTATGATATTTATTATGAAATTCCGGGCATTAAACTTTGAAACTAATAAAAAGTAATTTCATAATGAAGACACTGTAATAATTTTTACAAAGATAGTTTAAAATGATGCTGTGTATTTTTAAGGAGGCAATGCCAAATATTTAAAATTAAAAAATATATATCTTCGGGGCATTATTTTATTCCGTAACGTTTTTTATGTTTAATAATACAATTTGCATTTATACCAAAACACAACTATTATCACCATTTTTTACCCATATCATTAATATTTATTTCTAATTTAATTTTAAATTGTAAAAATGTAATTTGATAGTTCAAACTCATAAGTAAGTCATCAGCAATGATGTAAAGTTGATATTTTAAGTTACCTTTTTATCGCGAAAATTCACACTTTGAGCTTTTGCTTTCCTTAGTAGTTTCTGCTGTTTTTTTTTTTCCTTTCTTTATTTTTTTAAATTTTATGTTTGACAAATAAATAAAGATGAAATCAGTCGAATAGTAAAAAGGTTTTAATCTTGGTTTCATTTAAAAAAATAATTTCTTTATTTGTTGTTTTCAACGTTAAACTAGCTTTTTTATGTGTCATAATGCTAATATGCAGTCATTCATATAAATATTATAACAGTTACTAATTATTATTATGCAGTTTTCAATTAGTTACAATATTTAGCGTAATTAAGTAATAAACTTGCTCATATGTATTTGTTCAACAGAGCTTTGAGTAGGGGAGAATGGGGTCAATTGTAACAGGGTACGATTGTAACAGAGCAGAAATTTCGAGTGTCGGGTTCTAGATTTGGTTCCTAGGTGGCGCACAAGGTGTATTTAATAAATCTACATG